CAGCAGTATTTAGTTAAAATGCGTCAGCTACATTAAAGTGTTTGAGAGATAGAACTGGTCAAAAATCCCTTTTTAAAACAGTTTTTTGAAGATATCGAAATAGTTCACAACTTTTTAAAGTAAAGTGGAAGAGTTTACCTATAGAAATATGAAAGAATTGATAAAGAGCAATCAATTTTTCTTAGACGCTTCATCTAGGAATTGCAGCTAAATTTAAAAAAAATCTGAGCTTTAATTCCTACCAAGCATTTTTTCAAGAATAAATTTTTTCTAAGAGTTTTGAAGTGTTGTATCATAAATATATCATAATGGCTCTGTAAATCTAAACAATTCACAGTCATTTGTTTTTGTTCAATTGCTGAAACTTTATCACCTGCAAGATTTATTTAATAATTAATGCTTTTAAAAGATACATCTCGAGATTAAAAAGAACTGTTAAATTGGGTTGTCATTTCACCTGACATTAGTTCATTGATTTTTGAGGCGGGGCTTCTCTGATTTTGACATAATTGCGATAATTGAAGGCACAGTTACTGCAACCAACGGATACGGTAACTAAAGCGAGACGACCCGATTTGCAATTAGGAGAAAAAACTGTCACTTACAATTGTCCACTTGCAATTTACAAATTGGAATAACATCGAAAAAAATTGAAACTGTAAGCTTAACTTTTCATGTAATGCTGAGTATGCGTTTTTCAAGTCGCGACAACTCTAAAAAAAGACGACTGTAAAAAGAGTTACCGGTTGCTGTGCGGAAATTTCCGACAACACTAATGAGAAAAGAAGACTGAAAAAACGTTTTCTTCTTTTTCTATTTTGTTAATTTTTTATGTGCGTATTGCTAGGCAAGGAAACAGATTAAAATTTCATAAGCTAGTAAAAAAAAAAGATCAATTGGATTCGAAAAAATTACTACATGTTTAAGTCTTTTCCGATTTTTTTCAGAATTGGAACACCCACTAGTTCGCTTTACTATCTCGAAATTAGACAGAAACGTAAAAAATTCAAACCGGATTTTTTCTTTGATTCCCTATAACAAGAGTTTCATTTTGCTTAACTCAAGTTCGGGTCTGTTTTTTAAATACTTTTTTAAAATTTTTCTTCGATGCAAACTTAGGTTCCCTATAACAAGTAATTATCAGAATTGGTTACGAGATAAATCATAGGAAAGCTGTTTATGTTGTACCTCCAACGACATTTTAAAAGTTATTTTCTGTATGTATTGTATGTATGTATGAGGAGCGCGCCGAAAATTTTTCCAAAAAAAACCAAAGCGCCGTATTTGGTCTGTTTATTTTCTAAAGGTGCTTATCACGCAAGAAAATTGGTCAAAATAAGGTCTTTATGGTGATTAAGGAGAGCTCGGAAAATTATTTTGGTCGACTTTAACAAAAGGTAGACAATCTTTCGAAAATTTTCATAGGCATCTGCAACATTTTCGGGTCTATGGTAAGTAATTGCAGTATTGATGAAATTGAACTTCAATTTGTTGGACCGGATTTTCAGATCCGTTCACGCATTTTCAGAACCCTTTCACGCATTTCTAAAAATAAATTTTTTTATCAAAATTATTTTTAGAAAATAGTTTTGACCAAAAAATTCAATCATGAAATGCGTGAACGGATCTGAAAACCCGGTCCAACAAATTGAAGTTCAATTTCATCAATACTGCAATTATTTACCATAGACCCGAAAATGTTGCAGATGCCTATGAAAATTTTCGAAAGATTGTATACCTTTTGTTAAAGTCGACCAAAATAATTTTCCGAGCTCTCCTTAATCACCCTAAAGACCTTATTTTGACCAATTTTCTTGCGTGATAAGCATCTTTAGAAAATAAACAGACCAAATACGGCGCTTTGGTTTTTTTTGGAAAAATTTTCGGCGCGCGCTCCTCTTCGAAATTAAGCCAACGGCGCATTAAAAAAAATTTTAAATTTATTCGGCCGAAAATGAATGTCATAAAGTAATACCAATAGGGGACCTTTAATTGAGGAGGGGACGAATCTCTGAAGATGCGTCCGCTTCCCCTAAATCTGCTCCTGTTTCATTATTACTGTATTAAAATAGAAAATACCAAAGTAGACTTTTTGATGAATTTGATTTATCAACGGTTGTAGTAATGCTATAACAAATAGCGGCACTTAGCATAGTGATAAGGCGTTTACTTCGAGATCTTCTTGACCTCTAGCTTCAGGTACAGTCTGACAGGTTACGGCTGCAATAGCGATACCACGTGAAAGTTCTAGACGAAAAAAAACGGCCTTGAGTCACAGAAAAAAAGCTGCGCACACAAAATAACTCAGTCTGTAATGCGGTGCAATAAGAAAACGAACTATGTTTAGCCAGTCTAAATAGCTTTTTATAGATCCTCTGCGAATCGCAGAAACCACAACAGAATAGAAAATAACTTTTCCAGTCACATTTCAAATCTCAATAAAAATAGACTAAAATAGTTTAGTTCGTGTAAAAAATGTTATATTTAATCCCATTGGTTGTGATTCGGGTTCGTAATGAAACCTTCTAAACATGTGCCTCTGTGTTGTCAAGCTTGTTTTTTCAGTTTTTCATGAAAGAAAAAAAATGAGCTTGTTGTCTAATTTTGCTGCATTTCAACTTAATTTTAAACTAAACTCAACAAATTTTAGCCTATTATTATTTTTAATACCAAAAGTTGCAAGAATGAGAGGAAAATATTTGAAGGCAACTCCAAAATATTTTTAAAAGTTTTTAATTGATATTGTTTTTTCTAATGTCTAAGTGCTTTTTTTTTTTAAAATTGCGGCGAACATTCAACACGACTCAATTTTTAGTTCGAAGTAGTAAATTAATCATTTCAACTCACGTCATTGATAAACTTCAAACAGTATCAAATATTTGTTGAACACTAACTTTTTTAGAAAATCCAAACAGCTCTGCAAATTTATATTATAAGCCGGCTCTTTGAAAATTAGAACACAAAAAAATTGAACTTATATGTTTGACGGAATGGAAAAAAAAACATTTAGTTCACTTTAAAAATGCTAAATTTGAGGTAACGGCTCAAAATCAATTGGAAATCAATTTGTCCTGAATATAGAAAAAATTCAGCTGGGATTTACGAAAACAGGTGTTGATAAACTACAGTTTCTATTGTTCGAAAAACAACCTGGCCTTTTCATGGCAAGAAGAGCTTTTTCTTAAATCCAAATATTGATAAATTTTTTTTGGGGATTTCCGTCTTTATAGTATTTCAGTTATGCGGCTTTTGGAATAATTCTAAAAGCCTTAGTACTCGAAGCTTGTGAAATGTGAAATAAATTTTAATTCTTTCGCTCAAACCATGCAAAAAAGTTGGTTTGAAATTGAGTTTTGTGTTAATAATTCTCCCACTCATCGATATTTCCATATTTTTTGAAAACCCTCCCCCACCCGAAAAATTTTAGACCCGTCCCTGATTCAAATTAGACTTTCCAATAAATGCCCTGGAAATCTGTTTTGAAGTCTAATGGAAAAAATTGGGCTTTTGTATTTCCTTCTTAATTTTTTCTCCCTTTGGCGTTTTTTTTTAAGAATTCAGTTCAAAGTAAACTTCATTAAATTATGGCGTAACTTTCAAACTAAGTTAGCCCGACTAAGTAATGGTGGGTGAATATTAAAGTCACCAGTTGATGTTGACTACTTATTAAGAAAACAAAGACTGATTCCCCAGAGAAAGTCATTTAAAAAGAAAGAATGGAATAGCTTGAGGGCGCCTCCCTTTTCCTTACAACGGTCGGTATCGAATTATAGCCCAATTTAAAGCACGATTTCAAACACACCACTGTTGCAAATTGCTCTGAAATTTAGTCAAAAAAGGAGCTATTGAGAAGATATTTCATTAACATCCATGCGCTAAAAGGCGCCTATTCTTCTACCAAATACTCTTGGGTCCCGGGGCAATTTCTGAAAGTGGAGGGGAAAAAAGAGAGTTTCATCAATAGCGAATTTCAATTGCCCAACTGAAATCAGTGCCTGGCCGCCATTCGGTAACGCCCTCTAATTTTTCACGCCCTTTCGACCAATTCAGGGTATCAAAAACACTCTTCTATGCTGAATCAATCTGATAGCTGTATTTGCTCACAATTTTTTTCACAGTTCTGTACTCAATTTTGACCAAAAAATTCAATCATGAAATGCGTGAACGGATCTGAAAATCCGGACCAACAAATTGAAGTTGAATTTCATCAATACTGCAATTATTTACAAAGACCCGAAAATGTTGAAATGCTTGTGAAAATTGGTGGCATTGGATGTTGTAATGCAGCATTTAACAAACTGGTTGACCTTTGTCAAAATAACAATCAATAAGCCATCTTTAAGACGTTTGACGAAAATTTTCCTAGCCACGCTGTTTTCTATTAAATGCATAAAGACGAAAAACGGTGTAAATCTGAATTACGTCAACTTTTAACTCATTGCAAAAAGGGGAAATTTTGTTACAAGATGAAAATTCGGATGAGCTTAACCGTTCGTTGAATAAGTCCTATAAGGGTATAATTTTTTTGAAGATTTTGTCGTCCTTTTTTAGGTAGACTAAATTGATTTTCCGAGCTCTCCCAATGCACTAAAAAATTCCCAAATTTTCCCAAAGTTTTGGCCACATTTTCTGCACCGCAGGCAAAATTTTGAAAAACAGGCCAAAATTTTGACCAATAATTGCATTTTTCGGCGTGCACTTTCCCCTCAAAATTACTAAATCAAGGCGCCAAAGGCGCTCTAAGAAAAAGTTTAAGGTAAGTCAACCAAACATGGATATCACAAAATAGCACAAAGGGGGACCCTTTGGGTCGGCAGGGGATCGAATCCCTAAGGGAGGGCGAGGGCAAGACACCCCTCCCCCATAAATCCACCCCTGTCCGTTAACATTTAAAAAAAATAATGAGTAACTCATTAGGAGTCAGAGCAGCTGTTAATTATGGAACATTCGCTGGCAGATAACTGGTCACTAAATGCTTCAAACTATCATTTATTTTGTAGGTCCAAAATGCGTCGCTACTTGACGAAGATCTTCTTCCCCGTCTGTAGCAGGAGATATGGCAACGTCCTCATAATAGACTACATTATATGCAAACTGCTCTATCTTCTCAACGTATTAGTGCAATTGTTCGCTCTGGATGTGTGGCTGGGCGCCAACTACCATCAGTATGGAATTGAAGTGATGGTCAATCTGATCAAGAAGTTACCCTGGTCAAACGGACGTCGATTTCCTCAAGTCACCCTTTGCGACTTCTCAACACGAGATCTCGGTCGGTCTTTGAAAGATTTCTCTATCGTGAAACATTTTTTGTTCCGACAACTGAAACTGGGAAAGAACTTTGTATTCGAGTGTTTTAATTTTTTTCTTTTTTTTTATGTTTTCCACGCAAAGTCAGGTATCACAAATAATCATCGGAGTTAGTCTAAATATATATCACATTAAATCTTTTTCCATGATAATTCGAGCAACTTTTAAATTTTTCAAAAAGTTGTCCCAGTGTAAAAAAAACGGTTTGAAATTTTTGAAAACGCGATCAAGTGGAGTAACGCTCGTTATATTAAAATTAGTCGCTTAGGCTGAAAAAAAAAGATTTTTCTAGAAATATAACTAATTTTAGAAGCTTCATCTAGCGCTTTTTGCAGTAAGAATTTTCTTCAAAAACTTTAAATCTTTTTTTTAAAATTTTTTTTTGTTTGTATCTCATTTTTCGAGACAAATGTTGACGATTGTCTAAATCACTAACTTTTTAAGCATTTTTTCATCAAACCTTGCGCAAAAATTGACACTAAAAACTAATTGAAAACTTTTTTGGAGTTTTTCATAAATATTCTGAACATTCTGAGCTACTTGTACTGCAACCGTCTATCCTCGTTATGATTTGACTTACCGTGAAACGTTTCATCAATAAATTTTAAGGTTTCCCAAGCAAAATCAATGCGGCTTTGGCGTCAGTTGCTTCACAACAAACGGCTGAACAGCTGAAAAAAAAACGGTCTCAGAGATACATGAAAAATTTTTGATTTCAAAATGGCGTGAATAGAATAATTTGACAAAATATGCATTGCCGCATGATCAAAAAAATCTAGACTAGAAAAAAATTGAAAATTTTGATGTTTTTCAGAACATTCTACGGGGTTTCAATCAAATAATATGATTTTCTTCTCTTTAATACAATTGTGTAATTCTTGACTGCTACTCAGATAAAATTTTCAGCTGTTTGGTTCAGTTTGGTGACATAGATGTTTATTGTCACATTCGTAATTACAAAGTTTTGCAGATTGAAAATATTTTTCATTGTTTTGGTAACTTATTGACGTGGTTTTTTTCATGGAGGAATAGATGGCTACTTGAGTTTCATTTTTTGAGTTTCTGTTCACTTTTGAATCAATTTAATCCTGTGAATCCGACCTCTGGGAAAATTTTTTGATAGAAAATCAAAATAAAGCTTCCTTTTAAATAACAATGGGGCTAGGAACGTCATTTAAAGAAACAATTAAGCCCTAACAAGGATTGACAAAGACTCGGTTCTATTCCATTAAGTATGAGAAAGGCGGCGCTCATTGCTTTTGTCAGAGCAATTCTGTAGAAAGAAAGACGTTTGAATTTTAATTTTCTGAGAAAAAAGAGGGGAAAAATAGGAAAAAAATGTGAACAACTTCAATTACATTCAGAAAAGGGTCACAAATTATACACTCAAAAAATGGTCAAAAGACTCAATATAAAGCTTGAACATTAGCTTTTGTATCAGAAAAATTTCCCTCTTTTAGTCAAAAAAAGCAATTAAACTAAACGAACAGTAGCAGTTCTTGAGAATTTACGTTTTCTTTCATTTTTAGTTTCACTTATGTTTTCAAAACAGAAAACTTCCTCCCAGAGATTTACCCTTCGCCATCCAAGTGTACTATTTGAAGACATGTACTTTTGTCGACGAAACATATTTTTACGATCAGTTCGAATAATTTGGAGATATGTTTGACTTGTTTGAAAAAACAAAAATTGGCGCAAAAGACTAGAATAATAAAATTCAGTAACTTTTGTACAAAAAAAATTATAAATTGTTTTTTGGTCAAAGTTTATAAATTTTTACAATTCCGATTTGATCAACACAATAATTGAAATTTGGAGATACTTTTTGGTCGAAATTTTCCAAAAAAGGCTCAAAACGTCACAAAACATCTCTTGGGATTTATATTGATCTATTACTTATCTTTGAAAAACTTATTTTTATTAATATTTTTTTTCTATCTTCTTCTTTTTTTCTGGAAATTGCTCTTTTTTATTACTCAAATTTTTTATTTGCTCATAATTTTATGAAAAACATTTTTTCAACATTTGAAATTGTTTCTCCTGTGAAACTCATATGACAGTACAAACAGTTTAATACAAAAAATCTGTAAAATTATTTAAAAAAACGAAAACACAGTCCGTTACAAAACAGACCAAAAAAATCAACAGTGATATTTGTCATTCAAAGAAGGAAGTCAAAAAAGTTGTTTCAATGTTTGAACAAACTAAACCACAAAGTTGTTCCTACAAAAAAAATACATAGCGGCCGCCGCAGTTGCGCAAACGCGCTGCGAGCTTGTCTCAGAGGGTAGGATTCTATACAAAAATTCGTGCCGGTAACCACCAGGAAGAAAAGTAGAACTGGAAACCTCGAACCGATAGTCGGCTTAGTATTCTTTGATCGAGGTTTAAAACCCCATAAGTTTACAAAAAAGATAACAGGTGAAAATTGTTTTACAGTTGAGCTCAGGTCAACAATATCTTTCAGATGGTATAAAAAGATTCTGTCAAAAATGCTAAGATAAGAAGTTGAACAAGGACGGATCAAAAAACCTTCACAAGCTTAAATTTTTTTTTTGCCTTTTTTTTAAAGTCGTTACAAAAAATGATGTTTATGTCAGGGGGAGAAAATGGTAGAAGAACCGCATATTTGAATGTTTTTGCAGCAGGACTAGATAGAAAATTAATATTTTTTTCCTGTGTTCCAAATTTAAATTAAAACTGTTTCCTTAAAATTAAAACTGCCCCTTCAGAATTAAAACTGCTCGAAACAAATGTTAAGCTGTAAACCTTCTTCTATTGAAAAAACAAGGATTTTTACTGTTGCGTGATCGATATTTTTTTTATTTCAGGCCAAACTCATAACTTCACCGTTCAGTGTGTGATGACGATCAATATCTTCAATGAAAAGATTTACCTTTTCATTTGGTTTTGGCTCGTGTTTGTTGGAGTTGCAACTGTTATCAACTTTTTTGAATGGATGTATCGAATAATTTGTTTCTTCGATCGTTCAAACTACATTAAAAAACATCTCAAACTTGCCGACAGATATTGCACAGAAGAAGACAAAAAACTGTGCCGAAAATTTATTGAAAACTATTTGAAACCCGACGGAGTTTTCGTCATTCGGCTCATTTCGAAAAACACGAACAGTATTTTGGTTTCGGAACTCGTCGCTCATCTTTGGGACACCTTTCGGGTCAAAATGCTCTCAGCGCATTCCGGCAACACGCACGTGAGTGTTTCGGGTGAGGTTCGCCCCTGGAATATGCACCCGGTGTTGGTCCACCGTAGAAACTCGAGGGCGTGCGACTCGCCGACGGATCACAGAGGAGATCACAGCAGTGGGGGAGATGATAATAGTCCTACGCGTTAGTAATATAACGTTCAAAATCTTTCTTTAATAAACGGTTAATTACAACAACACAACAACATTAACATCAAGATTTCGAGAGTATAAAAGCATAAACAGTCTCTATGAAAATGTTTGAACTTTTGTCGAACTTGGCCACACGAAAATCGATTTCTTGCTCCTACTGAACACTAAAAAGACAGAAAAGTGTGTACATTTTTTGCTGCCCTCAGATTTTGTACATATTGACGACATATTGAGGTTGATTTGCTGATAACTGAATAAGTAGAGAACATTTTTTGACTAATCGATAAATTTTATTTTTTCTAATACCTTATTTTTATAAATTTTTTATTTCAGATTCAAAACACGACAGAACGCGACAGAATTCCATTTTCGATTCTGCTTATTTTTTCACTCCTGGCACCAATCGGAGACGACCCAGTACTCTTCCGAGTACCAAGTACGCAACCCTCGGAACCCCCTCGCACCACGGGGGTAAAATGGACAACGGGATCCACTCCCCCACCTCGGATAACACCTCTGAATACACCCACGGAAACGACCATACCCCCCACCACGAAACTTCACACAAATCGCATCATGATCACCGCTCGACGCATCATGACCCGCACGACACTCGTGACCACAGTCCATACAAGGACCATGAGTTCGACCATGCCACTTCGCCGACTCTCTTAGTTCCCCCACCCGTGTCCATATCATTGAGACATCAAGAACAACAGCAAAAAGAGCAACAAGAACAAAAACAAGACAACTCAAAAGAGCAATCTAAGCAGGAGAAAAACGGCAAAGATAAACTGCAATTACCCTCTTCTAAATCTAAACATGGAAACAGTGCCAAAAAACCCTCGTCCAAAAGCACCAAAGCGCCCAAGTTGTCCAAAGCTTCAACTCTACCCAAAAAGTAGCCAGTACTAATTAGCATAATAACAAAAGTAGCAATTAGTCGTATTAACAGTCCCCCTCCCTTCTTGTAAAAAAAATTATGTTCAAGATTGTGAGTTCTATTTTCAACCCTTTTCTTAATACAAGCCTTTATGTATTTCGCAGGGAGGGCTTCGTTTTATGGTTTTTCATGGGCCATAGGGTGGGGGGATCGTTAGCAATTATTTAAGGGCTAAAACAATAGTATTAGTTAGAAATAATTAGCATTTTAAAATCTCTCTTGCACATAACACAGAGTAAATTATTTTATATTTAAAAGCTGAATTAATAATTGGATTGCCAAATTAAAATGAATGAATTATGTACAAACAGTTTTTGTTTAAGCTATTTTTTCTAAATTATATCAATCAAAATTTAAGTATTCATTTTGTGTACACAATTTAACTTCCGAATTAAACAATCTGTTTTTCATTTTTTTCTTTTCAGAGTTTTTTGTGAGCACCACAATTGAGAAAATCAACGTCTCTTCTGAAGCACTTAATGCAGTTTATCAATTAAATGCCACTTAAAACTCGAATTATCGCTTGCTCTGTGGCCAAAAATAGCAATCAATACTTTTAATGGAATCGTCTAGTCAAATTCGAGGCAGAGTACTTTTTATCATGCTTAAGTCTCCAAACTACATTTGCAAGTGATTTTACAATCATGGAATTTTATCTTAAACAAAAATTGTCCGAGAAAATGAGCTAAAAGTGACCGGATTACAATTTATCTTAAAAGAAAACTTTTAAAAGAGTGCTCAAAAACACTTTTTTGCCAAAAAAAATTTCAAAAAATTTATGCGCACGCCAATGAATAGAGTTTTTACTCAGGTACAAAAATCAAAACTCTTGGTCTGTGGCTAGTAAAAAGATTTTAAAAGAGTTCGAAATGATCACTCCAAAAAAGGCAAAAAACTTAATATCAAACGGAAGATTCAAAGAAAACTATACAGTTCCAGATAATTTTTTGGTTTCCGACGTTTCAAAACCAGATAGAGCCATTACATGTTGGCTGGAGATTTTTCAACCAATATTAAAATGTGACAAGTTGGCGAAAAGACAAAGACTGTTCGGCTGGAGACGTTTCAGCCAGTTTGCGATAAAGCAGAAAATTTAAGCCGGCTTTGGAATTGTCATTAGGCTTTCAAAAGGCACTAGTGGTATTGTACACGCGAAACAATGTTGGCTGCCAATCAAGATTAAGTTTGAACTCAAATTTGGCTAAAATGTCATGCGTATTTTGACTGGGAAGTCGCAATATAAGCTTGCCGAAATGCTTCTGTCTCAAATGTCCAATCGAAATTTCAAACAGATTTCCCTGTTTAAAAAGCAAAACAGTTTTTATTGTTACATAAAAATAATCAAATTGGCATCATTCGACGCCAAGCTTGGTTTTATAACTATGCATATATTTGTGCTTTCACGCGTTTGGATTCCACGGACACATCTCTTGCGTGTTTTAGAGACTTTTTCAGTGGATTATACAACAAAATGATCCCAACACAAAAAGCCGACAAGTTATTTTTTGTCAGTGGATTCCGCAGACAAACGCATTTTGGCCGTTGATGTGGATTCCATTAAAAAAACTTGGATCCACTTATGTCACTGAAACCCGCAGCCGCTTTTTCTTCTGTCAGTGGATTCCACAAGCATTTGTTAACTGTTGCACAATGTATCGGACCCATTTCATCAACTGATTTATATATTGTGTAAAAAATGTATTCCCTTCATTTTTGAATACATTTTTTTTTCAATTGAGAATTTAGAAGATAAAGTATATCAGCAAAATGAGGCGGTTAAAACCTCTCAATTTTTCCACAAAACACATCTAAGCTCCCCCTTTTTAGCCTCCCTTTTTTGCTTATGAGAGAAATTCATTCATGGTTACCCCTTCACCAAATAAGACACTTGTCCTAAAAGCCGCGTAACATTGTAACATCAAGGGACTTCTCTCTATTAATTAATTTATGGAGCAGCAAAAATTGTGCCGTCAAAAAGATAATTATGTGGAATCCAATGACGAACTTAACAAACATTTTTTTGTCAATTTGTTCAGTCTCCTGAAATTACACAAGCTGCACAATTGCATCTCCAAAAAATCCCTTTTTCGGTTGAAACATTGGATTGCTGTGTAAAGTCAGTTAAAATATAGCGTAAAACATGCATCAATCATAGTTTTTTGCTTTTCTTTGAAACATTACTATTTTATTTTGTATTTAGGTCGAATCAGTCCGCACGTAGTTATATAATAACACAAATTTGTGGCAAATTTTTATAGTATTAGTTCCAGCACACTGCATTTGTATTGTTCGAAAAACTGAATATTATGAAAATTTCGTGGTGCTTTTGCTTTTTTTTAGCAAAAGGTAGAATGAATATTTAAGAAGTAATATTTTTGTTATGCATATGCGAAAAAAAATAAAATATAGGTTTTGCAGTTTTTTTGAATTTAAGAAGTCAGATTTTTGAATTTTTTGTTCAAAAATTGGAGTAATCCTAAGTTGTCAAAACCTTGCTTGTTTGAGGTCTAGAATTTTGTGATATCATTACGAGGCCAAATTGTGCACTTTATAGGCTCAAATTTAGGCTACTGAAATCCAGAGACGAATCTTTAGACTTGTTCGTAAGTTTTGTGAGCTCGTGCTCAAACACGTTTAACATAAATTATGTCGGCGCATTAGTTTCGTCGTGGATTCCGCAGCGAGCGATTATAACTAGTTGCTCCTGATTCCCTAAAGCACATTCTGCAAGCGCACTCTGCAAGTTAAAGCAGTTTCAGCCAATGTAAGCGGTCCTCTTACATTGAGCGGATTCCGCTTCATTTAGCCGATTCCGCCGACAAGTTGCGGATTTCGTTTACATTTTCAGATCTCACTTACAATTGTGGACTTCGCGACAGGGTAAATTCACTATATAAAAACTTTAATACTTTTTGTTCATTCTTTAACTTCTGTTGCGAGTTCCGCAAGTTTGCCTGCTTCTTCAGCAGTGTTGAGCAAAAGTGTTTCAGCTATTTGTCCATGGAATCTAAAATTGCAAGTAAGATCAGATCAACGGAAACTACCATTATTGAAATCAGCTAAAGTTTTATTATTATACTATATGTTTATTATACTATTAAAAATTGCGTCTTCACAATATAGTTGGTCGTAGGTCATGATATACTTGTATTTCGTCTATATGCTGCTTGCTTTCCTGCCAATCGGCCTTTTTAAGTGCTATGATAGAATCTTCAATCCTAATTTAGTTGTGAAGAGCAAAGTTTTTTGTATTTAACAGTGTTTATTTTGTACTTTTGTTAGAGTTAATTACAAAAATTTCTGGGTAATAGAAAGTTTGTGGTAATTGGAGGTCGGGGTTATAATGAGGGTTATAGCGAACTGACAATGGAAATGCACAATTGAAAAAATGTAGTTAGCTTTTGTTAGCTAGAGTTGACAAAATACAGCAAAATTCAACTATTTTCTCTAAATTTTTCTGAAAATGAAAAACGAAAGCCTTTGCTTTTCATTTCGTTTGTATTACCTGATTTTAAGAGGAAAAATGCAAAAAATTTTGAAGCTTTGTTTCGAATATTATATTTCTCATTCTCCGTGTTGAGATTTGCGGAGGAATTTTTTACCATAAAAAATTCCGAGAATTTACACAAAAAAAACTCACTTTGAAGCAAATTCGCCAAGACAAAAAATGCGATGAAGACAAAATTTAGTCAACAAACCTTAAAAAAAATATGAAAATTTAATTGCTAAAAATGTCTCAAATTTACCAGCGGAAAAACTTAAAAAAATTGAAAACGACTGACACACTGTTTATGCAAGAAGGAGGGTGAAAACTCTTCCTAAAATTATTACATGAAACAGAAAAGCTTAAGACCGACTCAACTGCAAAAACAACGTAGAAAATTAAAGCGATGGTTTTCTCGGAAACTGATTTGGCAGTCCCTGTACTCATGGTCAATTGAGTTGTGAATTAGGGTTATCCGGTAATTGTGACTGACGCACGGTTTAAATCAAAAGTTTTATTTCGACTTAAAAGTGAGATCTAGATAAGGTTCAGCAACATCATGCCAGGTATCAGGGGTACTCAAATTTTGTTCGAAGTCCGCAAATTTAGCAGTTTGAGTCAGCATTTGGAGCTGCACAGTGTTTAACCTCTTTTCTCTGGATTCCAAAACAGCACAAACATCTGAAAAGATATAAAAAAACAGCCTCAAAGCCGGTAGAGTTTGTGGTAATGACGTCTCAGTTTATTCATTTTTGATCAAAATTAATCCAAAACCAAGGAATTGAAAAAAATCTAAAAGTTAGTACATCTAAAAAGCGTGAAAAATTTTCTTTCTGTCAAGAAACAAAATTCAGATTATTGAAACGAAGTTTTATCACGCTTATTATGATTTTTTGTTCCGACTTGCGTAACGAAGTTAACGGAATATTTAAACTCGTTTTGAAAGTAACGGGTGGTTTTTTTCTTCAGACAAATTTCGACTTTTTAACTAGCCATTTTTGACAGAAATTTTTTATGCCATTCAAAAGGTTAAAATTGAAAAAAAAATTACCTGTGATTGTTTGGGGGTTTAAATATTGAGTCAATCACTTTGTACTTTATATGGCATGTGGGGGGATGATTCTTACAAAAAATCTCAAGTTTTTAGAAAAAAGTCATTTTTTTTATTACATTTATTGTTTTCATGTTATGAATGCTCCTTAGACCTAAAAAGGCACTCAGAACATTTAAGATTTCGCCCTGATACGAATAGTCTTGTTACTAGATGGTATTGAAGTTTCAACAGGTTAAATTATTTTGCATTCAATTTTTTTCGGAGTAGTTGCTTACCTTATTTCTCGTTTTGTCTCAATCTTCAACTCCCACTAATTAAGTGACTATCGAAAACAAACTCTGAATTTAACATTTATAAACCTTGACTTGCCTTTTTGCATTGAAAAAAAAATAATACGTATTGACATTGATTTTTTAAACTCCAAAATTTAACGCTCTTTCCATGCCGGTCAGATTATTTTCAAAAGTTTTGATCAAAATACTTTTTTTCAGGTGAAATAAAAAATAATGATATCGAAACCTTTCATACATATTTCACTGTGCTCGCCTTATGGTTCAATTTTCAATGTTGAACCGTTTTATAAGTCAATTACCGCCATCATTAATACCTCCTGAAATACTTCCCAAAATACCGCCCCCCAAATAACCCTTCCCCTAAATAAATCCGCCTCAGCTTAAGTGAAGAAAAAACATTTTGCAACTTTGTTTCGAGTACTAAACTTCTCATTCTCCGTGTTGAGATTTTCGCAGCAAATTCGCTTGACGAAAAAAGAAAGAGGAAAAATCATTATGAAAAGCTCTTTGATGAGAATGCCTCGAATTTAGCAGTGGGAATTCTAACAAAATG